AGATAGATAGATAGATAGATAGATAGATAGATAGATAGATAGATAGATAGATAGACAGATAGATAGATAGACAGATAGATAGATAGATAAAAGTGTCCTTATTTCTCCTCCTTTTCTTTGTATGTTACTCTCTAGTAACACTTCTAATTTACGGCAGTTACGAGATAACTTATTTTTGTTTAAAATGTTCCAAAACTCTTACTAAAACTCAATAGTTTACTGTAAGTTGTTTATTTTAGTGATCCTCTCTGTGCACCAAAGAGCGATTTTTAACATAGGGTCCGAAGAGAAAAATTATTTTATTACTTGATCAAGATTTGGGGGAAAAAAAAACATTTTATTTGTTTGGTCGCTGCCCTGCTGCAGAGGTGCCATGCATAGTTTTGTGGGCATAGGTAAATTAATAAATAAGTTGGAATTTTATTAACGCGTACAGATGAAAATGGACAATTACTTTTATAAGTGAAAGAGAAAAAGTAGGACCAACCAGTTAATCCCATCAACTACCCACGCACGGTAAACTGAGCGCCAGGGCTCCGGATGATTTAGTAGTTAGTCAATAGCGCCAATCCTTGCGACACCGTTCCAGGGGTGTTTGATGACAGGTCTTGACTCTCTTGGCTTTTTTCGCATAAATCTGTTGACGAAATCTTTGACTTACCCTGCAGGCTTTGAAGTATTACTTGTAGTTATCTATCTATCTATTTTGTTCTCTTTCCTAGGTGCACGAAATAAACCTGTCAACAAAAAGTCGGCTCAGTACCTTCAATACCCCTTTATTTGTAAAGGGAGTTTTAGAATGTCAGTTTTAAAGTCGAGTAGCACAGAAAATCTGTAATCGAAGTATAAGAAAGAATTATTGAATGCAATTTTTTTTTCCCTTGTTTGATATACAGAAAAGACCCAGTGCCAAACAAGGGTTCTGGCAGGGGCAGTAAAGAGAAAGCGTAAAGACTACCTGTTTACTTTTCACGTGACCGAAAACCGCAGAGATTTAAAGACGGTATTCGAATGAAGTGACTTTCATCTTTACGTTTTACTTTCTAAAGAAGAGACGTTTAAGTTAACGTCATACCGTACATGGATAACAGCCTTCTGAAGAAATAAACTGTATGCTCTCCTGACAGAATGACATCACTCAGAGAAAGCACAGTAACAGGCGTTTAACCAGGAGCACGATCATGGTATTGTTTTATTCCGCTTTCGAATATCAATCCAGCTTTTGAGCAAAAACATCATTGTCTTACCTAAAAAAAGATCGCCCTTAGGATAAGATTTGCTAACCCCATCAGAGTTGGGGTCTTTGTTATGAAATATCTGCGGGAAACGAATGCTTCTTTAGTTTTTTCCTTATGAAATGATTGTTTATTTATCATCAAATCCCAATCTGCACCAATAAAATTTAGGTCACATAAAAGGCGGGATGATTTGCCCAGTCAAGTTTGAATGACAGACTGTATCACAGCAAGAAGATAGCTACAGGTATACCCGACACTTTCTCCACTCGGGAATGGAACTCGGAACATTTGCACGCTGGCCAAAGAACCGAATAATAACAATGATAACACCACAGACTCTAATTTTTCACATTTTTTACCTCATCAACTGGCAAAACAAAAAGAAGAAATGCACTTCATCAATACACACCCTGTCCTTGCGGAAGCATGAAAACAATTAAATATTTACAGCGTTTAACCCTATCCATACGTCGTGTTTTACTATCGTATCCATACGATGTGGAGAACTCTGTGCCACCACTTTCGCAAGAGAAAATTTACTCGTTAATCCGATCCATATGCTTTGCATAGCAGTCTGTCAAAATGATTTTTTGAGAAATACTGAAAGTTTCAAAGAGAACTTCCCATGAGTAGTATTCTAAAATGTGAAGAATCATAATAACCCAGAGAGGTACAAAATGACCCCATGGCATACGGATAGGGTTAGGTTTAAAACAAAAACATTATAGGGGTGACGAAATTCTCACTTCTACAACGACTCGTAGAACAGTAGATGACTGTGGGTCCAGAACCGAACCATACTTTTAAGTACAACATATTTACATTTCAAGAGTGTTACAACAACCGCTCCTATCACCGAATGGACAGGTCCAACTCACAAAGCTGGTTATCATAGCCAAGAGCACCAACACATTATGAAGTCGCCGTAGATTTGTTCAAATCATTGCTCCAACTCCGTAATACTTTCCAAAGGCTGGCGGTGATATATTACCTGTTCTTGAGTTTAAGAGGATCACCTCGCTGGAATGAGGGCTTTTCAAACAGCGAGAGCAAGGTTTATAAGTTTAAAAGCAAACACGCGTATAGTGGACGCCTAAGTGGGGAAAGGGGAAAAAACAGATAAAAGGTTCTACCTGGCGAGGTGAAAACAAAATCCTGATTGAGAAATTCCTAACAGGAGTTATAAGAAGGCTGAGGGTGGCGGGGGGGGGTAGGAGGAGGTTTGAAAAGGGAGGAGTAATAGGGAATAAAGAAGTTTAAAAAACGGAGACATGTAAATGTTATACATGTTTGTGTGTTTGTTTGTTTGTATGAGTCTATGGGGAGGGGGGTAGAAAGAGAGAGAGAGAGA